TCTAATGCACATATACACACACACACACCAGAAAATAAACTCTCAATGCCTTTGCCTTTCATCTTTCTCTCTCACACATTAGTGATGAAGCAATCACGCACATTATTGTCACATTACCTCCAGCATTTCTTCTTGATAATGTTTCCTAGAATGATTTCAGCCCTGCAAGGCAGCACAAATGAAACTGTGTTATTAAATTGCAGCTTCAATTCACAGACATTTCCTCCATCAATTCTTTGCCATTTAACTAAACATGGCCCTGGTACATTAAAAAGTTTATTCATGAATGAGCCGTTAGATAGTACATTTAAAGTGCCATCGTTCAGCACTTCCTGCTCATGTTGGAGCGGTTTTACAGTCTGGGATTGTTGTTTTTAACCTCTTTGCATATACATATGAGTATAATCGAACTGCAGTCACAAACTGCATGACACTATTTGTTCACTAATCAAATGGACCAATCTTGGAATCTGCATTTGTGAAACTTTCAGGCTAAACATGAATGATAACACACTTCTTGGAGCCACACTAGGGCCAGATGTCTATATTTGAATACATATGAATACGTCGTTGTGAGTGTAACTGATGTGTGACACCCACCTGCCACCTGCGTAGACCTCAGCTGTGTCAAAAAGGTTGACTCCACTCTCGTAGGCAATGGTCATTAACTGATCTGCAACCTGGCAAGAAGACACACACACACATACATGCCCAGAAAGGTCAGTGTGTATTCACTGGTATTTTATTCAAGCTATAATTCTCTTTGTTCAGGCGGTTGCCAAAGGAGCAGCTCTTAGAAGGTTGTATCACTCTGGCATATCAATATTGATGATATAAATATTCGTGTGTTTCCACAGTTGCAACTTCTAATGTTTAGAAAACACTTATCAAAGTAGAAAAAGGGGTAACTTCACATTTTTTATATATCACTGCAGATACGTTTCAGTAAGAGACCTCAAACCATGGGTATTGTTTAACTATAAGTCATTTACATACACAATAACTAAGACTGTGGCCTAATTCAATATAACACACACAAATGGTAAATAGACTTACATGGCACTTTTTACACATTCTACAAACTCAAAGCACTTTACATTATATTTGCCCTTTGGCACCAACAGTACAGCCACCAGTAGCAACTTGGGGCTCACTGTCTTGTTCAAGGAGAGACTAGAGACTGTAAACTAAAGGAACCAGGGATTGAACCACCAACCTTCAGGTTAGGAGACAACATGCTTTAGCTCCTGAGCCACACCCGACCCCAAAACTGAGAAGCAGGCTCTCAAATAGAGACGTAAAGGGTAAGAAGACATGACTGAGTATAGGGGACATGGTTACAGAAATATAACCATTGTATAATTCTTAACATTTATATCAGTGGTTTAAAACTGTTATTAAGGTCTCATAATCTTAAGGGTCAGCACCTAGTGTCTCTGTCTGAAAAGCACATCTGTTGTATTTTGGTTTTTTAACAAGACTCTTTGAAGAACACAAGTAATTTACACACCAGTGCAGTGTTTGTAAGTGATATGGACTATTACATGGAACGCAGACACTCAAAAAGTCAACACAACAGTGACTGGAGAATGACAATGACAACTTGTAGCCTGGGGGAACTTAAGGACACCTCCTCCCCAAACAGCTTCCATACATCACATTTCACTGCTCTACAACCAAAATGCCTATGAAACAAAAATAATACATTTTTGTTAATTTTGAGCCACTGGAAACAAAAACAATATCTGAAATTGTTTGACTGGTTCTAGTTTGCAATATATGGTATTGGCAATGTATGAGCTTTGCTTGAAACTGAGCATAGCACTATAAATGCCTTCCATGAAAAGCTGTCTGGACATCGGTGGCATTATCCTTACATTTAAAGGATAAAGCACCTTGAGTGTTGCTGCTCAGAACAGCTGGAAAACATTTTTGATTTATGAAACACACTAGCAAACAAACAAGCACAACCTGACCTTTACTGCCTTCAGGTAGATCCTGGGGTGGAGGTTATGAAATGCTACTGTATGTGAGCACACGGGATGCAAAGTATGTGGTAGATACTGTGCATGCTGCAGGAGTGCAATCAAGTTGTCTACTTGACCTTGCAGAGACTGTGTGGTTATAGTTTAACTCTGTTGATGTACAGACTTTATTGAGCAAGTAGGATCAATCTGTAATTACTGTGAATTTGATTCCATGTTGTACAGAAGTGTGGAGTCATTCCTCTTTAGCTAATAAGTGCTCTGCTATATATGTGTGCGGCATATGTGCAGATATTCTTTGATATTTGTGCAGACAGGGTGACCATAAATCATCAGACTGAGATCCAATTTCCCGGTGGTGAGTTTTATTACATGGGGACTTTAAGTGAATTTGCCATCATTTCCCGATGGAGTTTTCTGGGGACAGAGGAGTGTGTTTGTGCACATGGTGCTTGTGTGTTTGTGTTTATATGTGTGCATGAAATCTATTTGTCTGCTTTTGTGTATATGCCTGCACATGCGTGTGCAGTATGTAGGTGTGTGTGTTGCACTTTCAGTAGTGGCAGACAGTGGGGGTGTTTTTTTTCCTAGAAGAATTAGATAATCTGTCCTCTGAGAATCTGTCTCAGCCTTCTCTCTGGAACCAGCACAAACTGGGCAGCAGTCCAAGTCTGTGTGTGATAATGATACAATAATAATAAACTTTCATTTAATGAGAATCTTTACAGAAAGTGCTTTGATAGACACAATGAAAACACGACACCTAAAAGAATAAATGAAGACCATAAGATGACATATAACAAGAATTTAAGGTCATTGTAATGAAACAAGGAGAAAATTAGGTAAAGTAAATAAAGTAATTACAGACAGAACAAAATGATAATAAAAAATATGCAGTAGAAGAATAACTGGATAACGAGTCAATAAAAATGGGTTTTAAGATATCATTTAAAAATGTTATTGCAATCAGGGACCAGCGCTCATGTGGCGTCTGAACATTTTAAACTTAAGAGCAAGACAATGAATTATGTGATATCAATAGTACTGACTAAAATAATTGGCCTGGTGTTTTCAGCAGGGCCACTGCCAGAGATTACTTTTTAAAAAATTTTATGTTGTTAGTGCATTTAATGTATTCATTCCCATCAGGATGAGAAGAGTATTTCAGGAAATATAACAAAAAATGCTTATAAATCACCAACAATAACTTTAAGAACAGGGATATAAAAAAAAATGCTGAAGGCTGCATTAGAGGACAGACAAAGAGACACAGATGAGAGGACAGTCACAGACAGAGAGCCAAGAGGGCGATGTTGTCTGTTTTTAATGGGTGACTGGACTTTAGCAGCTGCTTACTCACAATGAGTCTCACAGGACACTAAAAGGTTGATCTTTGTCACGGAGGATGCATAGTGACATTCACAGGGTCAGAACGTTTGTGCTGTTGATGACGCACTGCTGCTTAATCAGACTTCTGGCCATTTTAGATGAACTGAATATGACAGATGGCCTTCAGATGGAGGAACACTTTGAAAAAGCACAAACTGCAGAAACAATGCACCTCTACCCTTACCTAGGGAAGAGCAGATAAGTTGCAGAAATACATGGGTTGCTATGCTTCATGCACAAACAATGCAGGAGAATTGGATTTCCTTATATGAAAAAGTGAGAAATGAAACATTTTCTCTCTTACAACCCCAGAATCAAGACTGCAGTAACTTCCCACATATACCCACGCAGTCTTGAGTTGGTTTTATGACTGCACTGCCTCCTCCCCTCCACACTCGCTACATGAAAGTTAACATTGACAAGAGACGATTCAAATTCACCTTACTACTTATGGATCCACTTTTGGCCCTTTTGAATGAGTAAGCAATGGTAAATTGCATCTCACCATCACCCTTGTGAACTTTGCATCTGGGAATGTGCTGGCATTCAGACAAAACTGGAGTGTAACAAACTTTACAGCACTTTGAACAGACATCCTCTATCAGGGCTGTTACTAAAGGCTTTATAAAAGGCATATAAACTCAACAGTATTCAGAGATTGCTGAGAAAAACAAAGTAGTCCATGAGGTTATGGTGGACCACTCGTTAGGTTCTGACAGTGGAAACGCAGCTATAAATGTTCAGCTGGAACCCTGGCATCCTCGCTGATAGACTGCTGTGCTCTGAATGAGATGTGGCTGCATGCTAATAGAGCTAGCTTGGTCAAATAACAAGTACTCACACCTCCGAAAATGTCAGAACAAATATCTAAATAGGCATTATGAGGCATTAAACTGACCAGATATTCTCAATCCAAGTGGTTACTTTGTCACCTCAAAAAAATGTCAAAACTTAATGACGTGACATAATACCAGACCTATGGATGAAAATGATAACAGTTTTGAGCCTGGCCCAAAATCTCTAACAACAGCCTCTTGCCTGGCTGTTGCTGCATAGAGCAGATTTTTCTTGGTTTCCTTTGACAATGGGCAGCTGTCACTAACACAGGGATTTGTCTTGGTATGTGCTCGGAGTGCTCAGCAAGCACGGCCGCACACTTTGGACACAAGGGGGCTCACATATAGTCAACAGCCTTTGCAGCACTCACAATGGTGAATAATCTTTAAAAATATTCCTGTATCCAAATTATGATATAAATCAGAACCAACATCTAATCAATTGTTCGGTGGGCTATGACCTACTGCTCCAAAAAATTCATTAAGATCTGTTCATTTCATTTTGAGTTATACTGTTAACAATCAAACAAACCAACAAACGCCAAGCAAAAACATAACCCCCACCCTTGGCTGAGGTAAATAGTCCTTATTATATATAGCGCTGAATAACAGGGAAAAGATAGGACTTTGTGTTCCGTGTTTGCATAAGTCACTGCTGGATCACAGCTATGTGTATATTTGGGTCTCCCTCATAGCTGGGTTAGTGTGCCACAGTTGTTGTGCATTTCTTAATCGGGGCAGGGATACTGAGCTTTGCTGAGGACATGAAATATATTTAGGATCCTTTTGGTAACAAAGACATTGAATGGGGGTGGTTCAGGACAGCAGAGGACCACTGCATGTGATGGCAGTACTGCTGCTACTGTAGAATTCATTGGGATGCTTCTTTTTCTGGGTATTTTCAAAGGTAAGAACACACCGCTATGTGTCTCTAATCAGAGCTTAACGATTTTCTTCAAAAATGAGTCCACAAAACAATATCTGAAAAACATTTTGTGTATTAAAATCCTGTAGCTGTCCTACCAGAGGAATTTAGGCAGCATTAAAACAGAACTGTGTACAATATTTTTTTTATTTATATTTTGCTGTTGAAGTCTAAGATAGATCTAACTATTCTACCAGCTTATTTAACAAGATTAGATGGCTGGTTTACAAGCTTCAATTAAAACACAACAGAAGTGTTGAGATAAAAGAAAACATTAATAAAAATCCATTCATTGTTAAGTTGAGACAATTTTATATATGATCCATATCAGAGGACCTGAACAACAACTGATAGCTTGTAAAACATCATCAACGCTCAATGGGCAAGTGTCACTTTCTGCAAAAACTTAAATGAACTAAAATTAAAAGATCAATTTTCATTGGTTAATCAATTTGTTCCTGATATATACACTACCAGCCAAAGGTTTCAGAACACAGCCGAACACACTGGTGCCATTCTTTCTACAACTGAAATCACTGTGATATATTTTGACATTTAAGTATTTCATGACAAGTGAAAAGCCTTAAATGCTACAAAGCTGAGAAGTACTGTAAACTGCTAGAGGTTAAAAAAAAAAAAAAAAAAAAGGTCACCAAAAACTAAAAATGTGTTTAAATTTCATATAAAACAGGCCTTTTCAGGGATCAAGTAATTTACATATTTTCTGCAGCAGTGGAAATAAATTAGGCTTTGAAAATTGATGTAAACAGCTACTACAGGTGTTTCAACTTTCACTGATGACTTACAACAACAAACTATGTTATTACACATTAGTACTCATTGCTACCATATATCAAGTTAAACAATCAATCAAAAAAACAAATTAAACAAGTGAGATGAAGGAAAATGTTTTATACCTCATCTGCGATCTGTCCTCCAAATGTCACCCATGTACCTGGATGGAAGAGAGGGAGACATTGCAGCATTAGGAAATATTTCTATGCTGTCAGTCCGTTGTCTGTGTTCGTTTGTGTGTTTGACATCCCAAGATAAACACTGCTACACGGGCTGTGGCACCAGTCGAGGGAGGCAGTCAAGTTCCCAAGAGAAGCTCTGTCCTGTTCAGGACTGCAGCTAAGCACCGAAGAATAATCTTGTGTGAGCACCTGTTAGCACGTCCTGTCTTCACTCGGGGCTGTTTGTTATGGTCATGCCAATGTGGAAAACCTTGTGTCCCTGTCCTTATGTCAGTCCATGTGTGTATGTCTGGATAATGAGTATGTATGTGTGCATGTCTGACTACATGTTTCTGACTGCCCCGCCAACAGACAAAGGACTAAACTACCTGAGACACTTAATCCTCAGCACATTCCCTCACTGAATTATTCATGTGGCTTCCATTAAGATTATGTCAAAGCAGTTTTAGTTATCTATAACAGTGCCACCCTGTCAAATTGGGGGGTAAATGGTCTTATACTTGTATAGCGCCTTTCTATGCTTTTACAGCACACTCATTATTCGGCCATTCACCCATTGCACTCCCACGCACTCACGCATTCACACACCGGTGACATCACCGGGAGCAACTGGCAGTTCAGTGTCTTGCTCAAGGACACCTCGACATGTTGACTGGACAAGCCGGGAATCGAACCACTAATCCTCCGGTTAGGAAACGACCCGCTCTACCTCCTGAGCCACAGCCGCCCCCACGGTGGGGGGCTTTTACATCGGAAAACTGTCAGTCTGGTGCAAACCTTTACATATATGCCAACCTGCATTTATACTTTGGCAAGGGACAACTTAACAAACTGAATTAGAATATGATTCATTTGGTCCAGCAACAATCTGAAAATCTAGAAAACCAATATGATAATTTTATCATTTTATCACATTCACATGTGCTGGGAGCGAACAGGAAATTCAGTTCAGTTCAATTCAATGTTTTTCTGAGGGTTCGTATTCTGTACAGACCGTTCATTCCCCTCAGCCCTGTGAGGCACACACTTTGCCCAAAATGAACAGACTTCTTCAAACTCTGCTGACCTCCATTCCTCAACTGCGATAAAAGAAGTGCTATATCTCAGAGACAGGCGCCTTTAACCATCTGCTCATTTCAACACACGTACACTCCACTGAGGCTACAGATGACATCCTGAGGATAAAGCGGATCTGTTGGAGTGTAATGATATTATCTTAACTTAATAAAAGTGCACCAAGCTGCAGTTCTCAAAATCACTATCTCAGCAGAACTGCAAGTGAAATTTATTCAGCAGAAAGGGGTGGGCTGCAGGGTGAAATAACAATCACTGATGAAAAAAGATGCTTTGTCTATTGTTAACAACAATAACCACAGTATCCTCACTAAGGCTGTGTTCAGACTGAGTTTCAAAGGTGTGGAAAAATGCAGCTCTCCCCCTTTATTTTTATAGGGGATTGCATTCACCGCAGCCGGCATCAGCTGAAGGGGACTCAAAACGATACAATCCTGTGTGGGGGACTATTGGCACACGGATTCCCACAGGAAGAGGACTCTCTTGTTTACCTTATTAGCATGAGCATTCACTGCTATTCACTGTCAAATTTGGGCCACATTTTACGCACCACAATGACACACCATGCATTTTCATTAGTACTGGATGCTAAGCCATGTTTTTTTTATCTATCATTGCCGTAGAAATTGCTGCTAAGGTAGAGGAGGCTATGTTAACAGCATGGCTAATCCAAAACACAATGGATACTTCCAGGCTAGAAATGTGAATGAAGCTGCTCATGTTGACTCCTCACAATGGGGCTGTATTGTACACCGCTACACTACCGCATGGTGTCCAGTTGTCACTCTGGGGTTTGTTTCTGAGCAGGAGACTCGGCATGTGATGAGCACCCCGCAGAGCTCTAATGTCAAGGCCTCTGCTCCTTTTAGGTCCAACTGAGCTTCTGTTTGATGGAAATTAATGCCCTGCCAGCGAAAAACAACTTATTTTTATGGACAGCTGCTAGTGGAAAGAGCCAGAAGTGGCACTTGATGTTACTATGCAACAAGAGTAAATGCTAATTTAGCAGTGCTTTTTCCTAAAGCTTACAGGTGCTCAAGTCAACAGGTGAACATAAACTAACTCCTCATAAAGCAACTTCAAAGTCTGAATATATCAAGAGGTCCTTGTTTGACTGCCATCTATAATGATATACATTTCTAGCCTGTATACTAACATCAGGCATTTAAACTGACAGGACAAATGCGATAACAAATTGACATGAGATGAACTGTACGAGGAAGAAAAGCTGGAGAGAAAAAAGCAACAGGGAAAGAAACTGAGGAGCGTCATGAGTGGGTGATTGATGCGAGAAAGTTGTGGACTTGGCAAGAGGTGTCATTTATCCTCTCAGCGTTATGTGAGCCCTTTTAACCTGACTCTTGGATCCAGGTCTGTGCCTGGCAGCATGATAGATGGCACACATCTAGATGAAATATTTGTCTCAGCTGTCTCATTTAACAGCCCTAACTTTCTTTTTCATCTTCTCTGCCTACAGATGGAATGAATTGGTCGTAATTTTTCTTAGATTAATTTAAAACTCCAATAGAATGGTGCAGTGCATCTATGAGCTGTTTAGGTTTATTCAGACAGGACACACAAAAGTAAATTATTGGACTTGGATTATATATGCAAAACTACATCTGCATCTGACACATTTTTGTACTATTTAAGTGAATTATATTTAGTCTATTGTCTCAAAGGTAGAATTCAGTTTTTCACTGCTCTTTGAGTGTTTACTTGGTTTTATACATTGTGTGAGTTAAAGTTAGTGAGTTAAAGATCCTGTATGGCACCTTATAGTTTTGCATGCATTTGTTTTGAGTACTGCCTCTATTGATTTCTTCAAAACAATTCTACTCAAACTGCCTTTGCATTCTGTTACATCTGTTTCTGTTATGTCTACTATTTTGGCTTCAGTACCGAATACTGGGGGTGGATAAAAACAGCATGAGGCAGACACAAAATGCAAAAACCTCTGAAACCAAGCAATGTCCAAACTTGAAATCAACAACTTTTTCACTTTCAAAAGAAATTGAAGATTATTACTGTATGTTTACTATCATACAGCAGGGCTTTTCTCATCATTCACAACTTTAACAAACAATTTTATTGTGATAAAATCATTAGGAGTACACTAGAGATGGGCTGGATTCGATCCTACATCATTATTGGGTCCAGTATTGATGTCATTCACTCGGACAGACAGGGCCAATCTATTTAACAATTCATATTCCAGTCTGCAGCTTGTGCTGAACCTTGAACCCGCCGTAACCTAACATAATGTAGCATGAGACATGTCACTAGTCCAGATTACATCCCACATCTTACTATAACTATCCATCCATCCATTTTCTATACCATTTTATCCTGAATAGGGTTGTGGAGTGGCTGGAGCCAATCCCTGATGACATTGGGTGAGAGGCGGGGTGCACCCTGGAGAGGTGTACCCTGCAGGGCTGACCTGTAGACAAACAACCACACACAATTACACTCACTCCTAGAGGCAATTTAGAGTTGCCAATCAAAGCTACATGTCTTTGGACTGTGGGAGGAAGCTGGAGTACCTGGAGAGAACCCACACAAGCACAGGGAGAAAATGCAAAAGAGAGGCACTGGGTTGACTGGAACTCAACAGTGTGGTTGGCGACAGCGCTAACCACTGCACCACTGTGCTGCCCATCATAACATTAGCTTTTGGTTTGACTAAAATGTTGTTTGTTTGGAAGTATTTCATTTCAGTCTGGAAATGCCAGAAAGCAAGACAGCTACTTGTAATGTGTGTAAAGCCAGCATGCCAAGGGGTGGAATTACAGTTGCGTCGCACAATATAACCAATTTAATCATGCAGAGGGTTTACATGAAAGAGTACCAGGAATTCATGATAGCCCGCAAACAAGAAAACACCACCATGCAGCAGACACTTGCTGATGCTTTCCAGAAATGCGATAAACTACCAGCAGACAACCTGAAGGCTAAAGGGATTTCAGAGAAATTGCTCAACTTCATTATGTTATGATCCCTGGTCCTCGGTTTCCAGTAATCCACTTTTACTTTCACACCTCTTCCTGTTCCCAGCTCACCCTGACTCCCGGGAGCTTTACTTCATCACCCACATTGTTTTCACCTGCTCCCCAATTACTCACACCTGCTTACAACGGCATATAGCAGTTTCTCACCAAGTGGGAAGCTGCCAGATTGTTCTATGCCTTGTCTAGACTCTCCAGCCCTTTATCTTCTGGCACCTACTACTCTGAGATCGAGACCCTGCCTGTATTATCGACCAAAGATTCTGCCGTGTCCTGACCTGTTGGACTGCTGTAGACCTTGACCGTAGATTGAACCAAGTCACTTGCTCTTTGCCTGATCCTTCGATACCGTGAGCTGTTCTCTCCCTCACCTGAGCCTCCTGTAGAAGGGAATAAACTCTGTCCACCTTGCCTCTGCCTACTGGCTCTTTAATTGGGTTCACATCCCCACATCTTACGGGAGCATTATAGACCACTCCCTGACACATTATATGCGATGAACCACCACTATCTGTCCTAGAAAATCTCAGATTTTGCAGCCTGTTGGAGCACTTAGAGCCCAGGTATAATCTGCCATCCAGAAAATATATTTCACAGACAGCTATGCCCAATCTATACAACCAAGCATCATCACAGTTAGAATATGTTAAAGCCATGAGCTTCACAACTGATATTTGGACCTCAGATGTGAGCAGCATCGAAGGTGATCCCCTCTGTTTACTTGTTCAAAGATAAGTGAGACATTTCTTGACTTCAGGAATGGGAAATATCAAAATTGAAATGATAAATAACTAGATTTTTTTTTTCCTTTTTTGAGGGTAAAAAAGTGGACAGTGACAAAATATGAACACAAAGAGAATGTGACAAATGGCTAAAGTTGCCTGAACACCTTGTACTATGAATATTAGTAATGCCCATTAGGATGCGAAACCACACAGCTGTAGATTTTGAAGGATGAGGATAAAGTAGAAGACAAAGTAGGACATAGAGGAAAGAAAGTGCTGCAGAACTAGAGGGATAGAGGCTCTAGTACATCACGGTCCATCTCTGTTTCCTACAAAAGTACCAGAATGACAACACTGCTGCCTTTTCTACACTGCAGGATTTTCTACAGGAACCATTGTTAGAAATCA